AGAGGGAGAGGGAGGGGGAGAGAGGGAGGGAGGGAGAGGGAGGGAGAGAGAGGAGGACAAGAGAAGCACAGAAAACTACAAGGGTGAATTACTAGGATGTCTGGAACGATAAAAAAAGGACAGATCTTTTGGAATTTAGTTTTAAACATGTCAAGTCCTTAAATATAATAAACATTGATTTAATGATTCAACTTGACTGGTTTAAACATTGAGTGAAAAGTTTTAACATACTGCACAACTTTATCATTTTTCAAATTTATCATCAATTTAATATTGTCATACATTTTTTTGAGTCATGAATTATTAGGAGTTTAGGGTTATTTCAAAGCATGTTGCTTATGCCAAACTGACTGATTTGGTTGGCAAAAGAAATAATGATAAAATATTATTCCAAACTTCAAAAATTTAAGTCAACATTTGAATCAGTTATTTTACTATCTCCAGACATTTACACAACCTAGATAGTCACCACAAAAATATCAAAATTAACTGATTCAGAAATGTAAAACATGTTCATGTGATATTTTTCTTTATTTATATGAATTACATTTTAATGCATTTTGAATAACTTCATAGATCTTTATAGAAGCTTTGTTAAGCATTATATAATAAGTTCAGTAGTGTTATCATAAAAAGTCACCAAAACAAAGCTGCAGAAGTCTATTCAGCAGTTTTCCTGACATGTTATATCAGTATTTCTCACAGACTTTTCCAGACCGCACCAGGACACTTTTTTGAAATCTTTCCTTGGCAACCGTGTTTCCAAGCAGCAGCCTGATACTTAACACAAATCTTTACAATCTTTACAGTCAAATATCCACCACAGCAGGCTGAAGCTACTGACTGACTGCTTCTTAATTTGTTTACCTTGGAAATAAGACAATGTGCTCTTCTAATCCAATATTTCCCTCATGCATTTAACAGACCCACTGGACACATTTAAAATAGATTTACTGGAAATGAATTTCACCTTCCATTTTGTTTCCTGGAGAGAAATGATAGCTATCCAAGGCCTCGATCTAGGTTTTCCCATCCAGTCATTGTAGGTACACCCTTCCTTACTTTACTTCCACTCCCTATCTTTCTTCTCTTGTTAATTACAGTTCACCATCTACATGATCGTTAATCTTTCAAAAACAGCTTTATAGCTGCTCTCTCCACCTCTCCATTATGACATTATTATAGTTTGGCCAAGAGGGCTATAACTGAACTTCAAGAGAAGGCAGAAGGAATAAGACACCAAAAGCCTTTAAGAAGTGAGATATTAGAGACCAAAAAGAGACACCAGAGGGCTGGAAGTTTTCTAGGGCTGATATAATTGACAAAGAACGGCTATTTTCTTGTTTAAACATGAATTCAGCGTTTGATGTGATTCTGAAAGGGAGCCTCGAGCGCCATCAGGCGGCCGCGGACGGACGAAAGGCCGCAGGGCTCTGGTGGTTCTTTGCGGTATTGCAATATACGATTTAAAAATAGAGAGCTCGAAAACAGCTTATCCCGGTTTTTTCTCTTAACCTCCCTCAAACTAAATATAGTCGCGGCCTTGCCACGACATCTTGCTCTCAGAGGTTTCTGTGTGATATGAAAAAGTCCTTGGTAGAGCCATAAAACGACAACAGCTGGCCTAGATCATCTCAATGCTTACACAGACAAATATAACGAGAGCTAATGAGACTAACAGCTTCATTACTTTAGCTACTGGGTTATTATTGTAACTAAAACTATTAAAAACATTATTGTTCAATGAAATATAGCGGAAATAAAATAAACTATAAATATTAGATGAAAAACATTACAAAATGAAAAACTGAAATGTTAACTTGACAACCAACTAAAGTAAGTTTAAGTATGTTAAGTAAGTTAACACACTAAAATTACTAACTGGAAATAAAAACTAAAACTGAACTAAAAACAAAAATTAACCACTCTCTAGATAAACTGTATAAAGGCCTATCTGCAGTTAATTATTTTAGTGCTTAAAATAAAATTTTTAAAAATGACATTTTTAAATATGAATATAAAACATTATTTAGGCCTAAAATCTCACAATTTAGGGACAGATCAGTATTTTAGCATTAATTTCCATAAAATAACTTGGAGACATAAGCATCTGAAATAAATAAATCACATACACACACATTAGTATTATTAAAAAAGTAATAAAAAAAAAGCCTAACTTAATCAATACAAACGTATTTAATATTTTACAAAGCACAATTTACAATGACAGAAACAACAAAAAGAAAATTCTCATAGCAACCAAATGCAAAGCAACCACATGTTTGGAGACAGTAGTTGAACATGACTGTGTAATTCAGAATAACTTGTGAATTATGGTCTTACGTTTCTCTCCATTATCCTTTGAATAAAAATGGCCCCCCGAAAGTTTCTAAAATAAACGTGGGTCTGATATTCAGTATCTTTTCTTCTGGGACGCGTGTAGCAGCTTGATCTACTCGTCTTCAATGAGTAACATGTTAGGAACACCTTTGGAGATGGGGAACTCTCTGCCAGATTCAGGACACTGTAAACATCCCTCTATAACCTCAACCTATGAGGAGAGAACACTGCTATTAGCACTAATTCACTTAAAGTTCATTCCATAAAATATTAAATATTTATGTTGAAAATGGGTTTGCACCAGGGTTATTACGGTTGAATAAAACCATAAAAAAAAGTTTGTTACTTGAACTAAAACTACACAGACATAAAAAAAGGGGGGGAAAAAATTATATATATATATATTAGGGATGCACCGATATGAAAATTTTGGCCGATACCGATAACCGATTATTCTTTATTTTTGAAAGCCGATAACCGATATGTTGGCCGATAAATCTATATCCAAATTGTTATATACTTTTTGAGAGCCTGATTACAAAAAAGGTCTCATCATTAAAAGCCACATCCCAAACACTTCAACATAAGCAGCCTAGTTTGAACGGTGTACGTTTTAAAAATATGTTTACTCTCCCATTACCAAATTTAGTCATAAAAAAGTCTTACAAATAAATAAAATTATGCATAAATAATGCAAACAAGTCATTGGACATATGGGCCGATACCGATATGGTGGCCGATATATCGTGCATCCCTAATATATATATATATATATATATATATATATAAACTAAAACAGTAACATTAAATAACATTGGCTTGTACAGAACAAATATTGAATAACAGAAAACTAAATATGAGGCACAAATCTAGTTTTATTTGTCACACACACACACACACACACACACACACACAGGAGATCAAAATTAGAGAACAATCTATAAATACTTGATTCTTTCTGAAATATTGTAAGTTACTGTAGTGGGTTTCTTAGCCATAACTGTGTTGCCAAGGATTTTCCAGAGATTTTCAATTGGGTTTAGATCAGGACTCTGGGCCAGCCATTTCACTATTTCAATGTTCTTAGCTTTAAGGAACTGCTTTACCCATTTTGCAGTGTGACGGGGACATTGTCTTGCATGAAAATTGCAGGCTGATTGGGAGATGCTTGCAGGGAAGGAAACGTATGTTGCTGAAGGAGGTTCTGATAAACATTTGCATTCACTCTGCCTTGTAGCTGTATAAGAGGCCCAACTCCTGCTGCACAAAACATCCCCCGAACAAAATATTTCCCATCTGACCCAACTTGCTCTCATCACTAAAGTGAACTTTGGACCAGTTCTCCCTAGGCCTGGGTGATAAAACGGTATCAATATTTATCGACAGTACACCTTCTTCGATATCGATATAAAAATGTTCGATATAGCGCACGATATAGGCACGTGCTATGAGTGACGCAGACAGCACACACAAACACCTGCTGAAATGAGTGCTGTGCCTGCCTGTGATGAGGAGATTGTGAATAAAGAATGAATATTAGTCGAATTTAAAAAACATTTGCATTTGAATGTTAGGTGTGCATCAGGGAGCTTCATCAGTGTTGCGTGAGATGATGTAAGTGACGTTGTTGCATTTTAATGTTTTGTTAGTCTAGGCCACGAGATGCGCCGCTGCTGTGTTATTCATTCAACATATTAGAGAAATATAGAAGCTCAATGCGGAGAAGATCTTGAATGGGTTCAAACCGAATCCAAGCCATTCACACAGAATGCAGTACAAAATTATATTTGATTTTTATGAGTTAATTTAGACATAATGCACGTTTTTATAGAGTTACTTGCTAAATGCACGGCATTATTTTGCTCATTGCGCCCTCGGGAGACAATTAGACCTATACAATAAAGACCCATTTAATCTGGATATAAAACATCAGAAATTAGATATTTGTGTAATTTTATCGATATCGAACGATATGATACATTATATCGTTGATACATTTTTTAGCTATATCGCCCAGCCCTAGTTCTCCCCTCTCCACACAACATGCTCCTCAGCATAGTTTAGTCTAGCCTTTTGATTCTTTCTGCTGATGAGAGGCTTGGTCACCGCAGAGTACGTTTTCAGTCTGACTTCTCTTAAACATGCTGAGACAGATCCAGACCCTGTTCAGCACTGAACTGCAGAGCAATTCCAGCTGCAGTGTTGAACCGATTGCCAATTGAGATTCTCTGCATTATCCTATCTTCTCGTGCATTTGTCTTACGTGGATTACCAGCTTTTTGGGGGGACTTGAATGAATTAGTATCATTGTAAACCTGCAATTATTGAGAAATTACTGATTTGGAATGGCCTGCTTCTCTTGCAAAAGCTGAAAGGTTCATCCCTTTGGCCTTCATCTGGACACATCCTGTCGCAGGGTTTCAGGAACGTTGCCAGTTAAATATGGTTTGTCATATAATTAAGGAAATTAGCAACAGGTGCCAGATTAACACCAATAACTTTGGAGGTATCTGTAAGTGTTCTCTAATTTTGAAAATAATACTTTTTCAAAGATCTCATTTAAGTTTTTATATTTTGCTTCAGAATACAATTAATTTATGAAATATGCTTTAAAAAACTGACCTTCTACTCCTGTTAGGATAACTTCAAATAGGACAAAGCAGTGAACTAGAAATGTAGGAAATTGTAGGTTGTTCTACTGGTGCATATTAATATGTATTTATCTTGGGCAGTTGACATTTCAAGCTCAAAAACTCTAACTTTCATGTTAATTCACGAGTTTAACATTTGTAACATTTGCACTTTTAAACATTCATTTGTCACACTGCAGGACTACTTCAAAAAAGCGATTAAAATACAAGACATAAAAACACACTTTCCCTTATTCCGTCACATATCTTCTACTGGTGCATATTAATATGTATTTATCTTGGGCAGTTGACATTTCAAGCTCAAAAACTCTAACTTTCATGTTAATTCACGAGTTTAACATTTGTAACATTTGCACTTTTAAACATTCATTTGTCACACTGCAGGACTACTTCAAGGACTACTTCACAGACATTTAGGTTCCCTGTAACTTTCTGATATGAATTTGTGATTTTTGAGCGATGATTTCGGAGGAAGGTAAATGCGGTTTGTAATTCGCCCTAAATTACTGCTGCATTAATGTGCGTCTCAAAAATAATTATTAATAATGAAAACACTGCAAGTCCATCTCACCTTGATAATAAGTGGGTATCCTTTAGTCACACCTTTCACGTGGGATGTTAACATGTTATGCGTTAACAGCTTCATCTCGGCAGTATGTGGCTATATATTTCAGAAACAAAGCACGAACGTTTGATGCTTATGGAAGCGTTGAGTTACAAACAGAAGCATACACATGCGGTTTGGAGACGACTGTGTGCAACTACTAAAACAAGCACCCTGAGAAACAAAGCGTGCTGTATTTGGTTCCGCATGCAGAGCTAGCCGGCTAATGACCGCATAAAGTTGTTATAATGTCTGTAATAATTTCAATTTAAGATGTAATATTATGGCTAAATCTCAGTGGCTAACTTGCTGAGTCTAATTTACTATTATACAAATGTGTGTTTCTCTAGTGGTTCTGAATGTGTCAAACGTCTTCTTCAAAAAGGTGTTACATTTTCATAATGTCCTCTAAACTAAAATTGAAAATCCTTTTTGTAATAGCGGCTGGGTAACAAACACAATAAACCCACACATTTTTTACACGTACTATTAACATTACAGATTATATGATGGGTAAAACAAGGGTTTGATATAACTAGCCTAAATCATTTGACATTTTTGCTAACTATTTAGACTAATGGCAGACTCCAAATGTGAAATTTTACCCCATTTTTACTCCCCCCTTCCTCCACTTTACTGAATCTCTTTAATCATGTAAACTGGTAATCATGTAGTGTGTTGGTTGTAGACCGTGTACATTTGTAAATGCATATCAGAGAGAGAGAAACTTTGCTGTGAAACAAAACTGTCACATAGCATAAAATGTATTTGTTTAAATCTAATAATGTAACTTTCTAGGATGGTACAGAAATACAAATCTGCCTTAAGCTATATAAAATGATTGATTAAATCACACTATTGCCTATGTGGATGCAACATTTACAACATTAAACAGTAAAAAGCAATATTTTCCAAATGCACATTTTTATTCCTTTTTTGTATTTGTTTACACATCATCTTGGTACTATACAGGTAATTCTTACAGCGTATGATATAGTTGTAATTACAGAAGAAACAAACGCACACGGATAGCTATGAATTGCATAGCCAGCCAGTCAATACACAAGCATGCATGTCCTTTAACACTCACTCAAACACACGCTGTACATACTTAGACAAATAAAAACACGCCAAAATCTCACTTCCCTCACACTGTTATGCAAATAACAAAAAAGTGAATGTAACATTACCCATAAGCCCTTTGTCAACCGACCCACTCCCCAAGGCTTCTTGCTCAACATCATCAGTTTTTACATTTCAATAGCTGTTATTACACATATGAAATAAAATATTTAAAACATGTAGGAAGGCAACTAATGAGCTGAAAGCAAGCATGCTGGATTTAGGAGTAAATGGCAGATAAAAGGCTGAATCAAGAACATGTCTAGGTCATATTTCACCACAAAACAAAAGAAAAACAATAGTTTACCTAAAGAAAATAAAATTGGCATTATGCATTTTTTTAAAATGACAATTTAATCACATTTCAATACACAAATCCCATTATTGCAATGAAAAAAATCTCATTCTCATTACGGCAATGTGAAAAAATAATATAATTAATTAGCAAAGTATTTATTTATAATGATAATGTGTGCATCATATATATATATATATATATATATATAAAATGTTACAGTGAAGGAACCCTAAAATAGGCTTCATTTTCTTTATGTAAAATCGAATTACTTACTTTTATCTTTTGATTTTGGAGTGAAATATGACCTGAACATTTAGCAAAATTCACCCAAAAAAGACAAGACAACAACTCTTCATCAAATTCTGAAAGACATAAAGATGAATAGAAAACAAGAGTGATCCCCCTCCGCACAGAGACTGACTGCATCACTCAAATAACGAACGCATTAGTTTAGGCTTTAAGAGTTTAAAACAAGATCTTTATAATATCAGTGAAGTAGAATTATGGCACAAAGACATCAGGATAGAGAGGACAAAGAATCACATTCCTAGTGTTAAATGAAAAGTATGGTAAGGCCACCTCAATGCATTTATTGAGTGTTTCACCTTACCTAGATCAGTAATTAAGTTCAACATTAAGTTTGAAATACTTCAGAGGGAGAATAGCTATTCAATCAGATGTTAAATTAGTGTTTCGGAGAGGCGAAAGAAACATCTGGTCTTGAGCTCACAGGTAAACAGAGTTATAGACAGATATGATTGCATACGTTTCAATACAAGATGAGACTGAGCTGCACTTGGCTGTCTAGAGCGCTCCGCTTCTAGCAAAGTGCAAGACCAAAACATTTGCATTGCATGAAACAATGTGTGCAACTATGTGGAAGCCACGTAAAAATGGTTCAGTTTCCTTTTTTTTTGTCCTTTGTTTTTGCATTGATACTCACAGATGAACTCGCATTCACACTTCTCACATTCATATAACAAAAATTAGACTTCATTAACGCCAGTCAATCTCATTCTTGGCCATCTTCGGTGCGCCATTTTAAGAAGTCCTCTTTCCGCGCATCTGGTTTAATTTGGTTCCGCATTCCTCCCAATAGGTTTGAAGTGGCCTCTGAGGCAACTATAAGTGGACGGACCACGGTGGGTGGGATCTGGCGCAAAACTCCGCCCACCGCTCCAGGAAGACCTTTCTGCTCGTGTCCACGAGACGCAACATCACACAGCGTCTGAGCGGTGTCAATCACTCCCTGGGAAAGGCAAAGATGGCATGAGGACGTCAAATTAAATTATAAAAAGAATTGGACTAGAGATAAACACTTTATATTACACATTTATTAAACTAAACAGTCACAGAGATGAACATGTCAATAATATAGGGATGTACCTCTCTGACGGTATCATAGGCCTTGGCCACTCCCTCTCTGAGATCAGCTGGTTGAGGGGTGCGTCTGGGACGGGGAGTGGGACGTCCATCAGTGATGTAACGTGTCAGAGGTGGAGTCGGAGATAAGATGTCATACACTGTCTCCGCAGTGGCCTGGAAATATACATACAAAATTTAATATTAAATATATAAATATAATTAAAATGTAAATTTAATCCAACAAATATAGCAATATATATAACTGTGACCCTGGACCACAAAACCAGTCATAAGTGTCAATTTTTTTAAATTGAGATTTATACACCATCTCAAAGCTAAATAAGCTTTCAACTGATGTATGGTTTGTTAGGATAGGACAATATTTGTCCGAGATACAACTATTTAAAAATCTGGAATCTGAGGGTGCAAAAAAATCTAAATATTGAGAAAATCGCCTTTAAAGTTGTCCAAATGAAGTTCTTAGCAATGCATATTACTAATAAATTTTTTTTATATATATTTACAGTAGGAATTTTACAAAATATCTTCATGAAACATGATCTTTACTTAATATCCTAATGATTTTTGGCATAAAAGAAAAATCAATACTTTTGACCCATACAATGTATTTTTGGTTATTGCTACAAATATACCCCAGCGACTTAAGACTGCTTTTGTGCTCCAGGGTCACATATAATAAATAAACAATATATATAATAAAAACATAATTATAAAATTAATTAAAATAACAAAAAAGAAAAATATACAATATAATATAATATACTTATAATGTAAAATAAAAGTTAATAATAAAAATATCTAGTAACATGGTAAACCAGTAACAAATATAATAATCATTTACAAATAATTAAAATTCTACATAATAAAAAATAAACAAAATAATTTACAATAACATGATAAAGAAAAATATCAAAATATGATAAATAAAAATATAATACAAAATTATATTTGTCTTAATAAAATCAATAGATAAAAAAAAAACAAAATATCTAGTAACATGGTAAACCAGCAACAAATAAAATAATATATAATTTAAAAGACAGAATTCAAATGTAATAAAATATACTAAATTTAATAAAAAAC